TTATTTTCAATAAGCAATCCTGAAAAATATTTGGGGGTGCTTAACTTTTTTCCAGGTGTATATTTTAATAGAAAAGAGTTAGTTAACAACACAAATTATATGCAGTAATGAAGTTATCACATTAAAGTGTCCCTACTAGTTATCCTTAAATCATGTGATAACTTCTTGAAGAAAATAAAATCACAGAAACATTCTATTCTGAAATAAGCAAATGGGCTGCAAGCTTTCTATCTTCAATTGTTTCAAACATGAAGAAGGTTCAACTTTAATATTTAAAAAAAAATTATAAATTAAATGAATACTATTTAAACAATACTTTTACTTATACCTGCACTCATCAAGTGAATGAGATATTTAGTATTTTAAATTTTATGCAACAGACAAGCTAAATGGTAAGGTGAGAGAACCCAAGTATTGGGCCTAGCCATTCTAAGTTATAACTGTTGACTAGAGAGAAAGTATCCATTAAGCAACACCAACCATCTATATGAATATCTGAATTGGTCAATAATATTTACTGTAGCTTTTATAACATGTCTATAAATGAAAGTGTGAAGCATTTTCAGTGAGATATTAAACATGGATTTAACATTTGACATTCCAATATGCAGTCCATCAAACTAATCACTACAAAAAAGTGAATTAATACAATTTAAGCAATATTTCCAGCTACAGCTGGAAATATATATCACATATATATTTGAAATATATATCATATATTTCCCATTTGAAATATATATCAAATGGGAAAAGGTTACTTATTTTAAACTTTATTTTACCAAAATAATGACATGGTAAAATTTTCAATTCATTGTGATTTGTGCTATATTTTGGAAAACAGACAAAAAATCATCTGTATTTTGTTCACATGTTTTTAGTATCGTCTTCTAATAAAAGAGGAAGTGATCATAATTATTTACTCATTTATGTTTACTTACACAGAATGAGGTTTAGCCTTATAAATAGTAAAACTGACTTTCTTTAAAAAAATATAAAATAGATTCACCTTCATCCTCTCCTTCTTCTGGTAAAACTTCAGCACCTGGTAAATAATCAAGGGCTGAAAGTTCTCCATATTTTCTTACTTTCAGCTCTTTAATCGCTTCAGTAGGACGGCCCTGGACAACCAACACACAAGTTTCAGAATTTTTTCTAATTTCTAATTCAATCTTTTGCAAATATAAACTAATTAATAATTATCAGTAGATGCATTTTTGGTATAAAATATTAATGTTAGTGATGTTTAATTTTGTTTAGATATTATTTCATTTATGTCCACATTTTGATACAAAGCATTTAAACATAGAGTAATACTTAGTAGAATTTGCTTAAGTCTTTAAAAAAGTTTCACAAATGAAAAACATATTGCCCACAATGAATATACAAAAACTTCAAACTGGTGTGATATACATTTACCTGGGCATGCACTGGTCAATCTTAATTTTTCTTACATTACTTAACTCAAGACATCCATTAGTGACAGAACTGAAGTAATTTTTTAAAAATCTATTTTTTGTACATGGAATATAAAACAAATGTTTATATCTTCTACTCCAAAAGACTACAACTTATATTTGCAGAGCCGAAAACATGCACTTGTTGGTTCTGTAAGATTTACAACAAGAAAATTAAACTTTTTTAAAGTTTTTGATTTTAATGCTTAACATATAAATCATGTCATAAATGTAAGGTATACACTTAAAATAAATTGATGTTTCCCTATCAAGATATTAGATAACAGAAACATTAAGACAATAAGTCATTTAAATTATAACCTCTCTTCCAATTATCAAATCACTTATAATAGTCTTCCAACAAATGTCGAAAGACCACAATCTCATCCCTCATTAGCAAAACTAAGCCAGTGAAGCACACTGCCATCTCACGGAGTTTTATATGACTTTAGTCTATCACAACACTCTAAGATTTGTAAGAAAATCTACAATTTTCTCGGATTTTCATGAGCCCTGGTTGCATGAAATAAAACAGAACAAAATAAAAGTGTAGTACAACTGAATAATGAAACATAATTTCACAAGCATATTTTTAAACTTTGTAGTGTTAAATTGTATGGTAAAAAATTAAAATATGTAGTTTACCCTGTCTTTCTTCAGCAGTAGTCCTGGGTTAACACTTCTATAAAGCTGAAGGAGAGACCTAGCTGCCATCATCACAGCTTTACAGAAATGCAATAAGAAACATATAAATAGGAAGAAAAAAAATACTTTTTATAGCTACTATTCTTAAGTTAAAAAATTTATCTTGATAGTAGTTTAAATACATTATTAAAATCCTACAAATGTTAATATTATGAATACAAACACACACAAGATATATTTAGAATTACAACAGAAACCAAAGGCAAGTATTTCAAGAAGAAAGCAGTAATAAATTTTACTCAGTTAATATTCACATAAGATTTACAAAGTAATATTATTAATACGTTATGCACTTTTGGATGTCTTCTATGTGCTAGTTTAATAGCTAATACATATTTCCTAACTGATAACTTTTCAATGTTATTTCTAAATTGTCATGAAATATCAGTGGCAAACTAAGCTCCATTACTTGTATTATAGGTTGAAACTAACCATTTAGTTTCAATATTTATTTATATACTCCATGAACCTATTTAATGTTCAACCAGCTTCATATTTGACATTTACTGCAGTATGTATCAATTATTATATTGTAAATATAATAGTTAGTGACTAAACCATTCAACATTTTCTGTGAAACTTCTAAAACCTGATTTGTATTATATTGTGTCTTGTCTTGTTACACATTATATTGTACTGATCATAAAAATAAAATTATCCTGTAACCTATTACAGCCCAAACAGTATTTTGAGGATGTACAGTTTAAGCCTTGTAAGTCATAAGGAGTTAGTATTTAGATATTGTGTAATGTGATTATAAAAAAAAGGAATAAAAGTTAACATAATAAATATTGTGTTCAAGCAGCTTCTTATCTGACATGTACTGCAGTATGTATCAGTTATTATATTGTGAATATAATATTTAGAGACTAACACATTCAAAATTTTATGTGAAACTTCTAAAAGCTGATTTGTATTATACCGTGTCTTGTCTTGTTACATTACACAGTATATTGTACTGATCATAAAAACAAAATTATCCTGTAACCTATTACAGCCAAAATAGTATTTTGAGGATGTACAATTTAAGCCTTGTAAGTCATAAAGGGTTAATATTTAGATATTGTGTAATGTGATTTTAAAAAAGGAAAAAAAAAAATTAAACATAATAAAGATTGTGATCTCACATTTATCTTTGTAAGACTTGTACTGGACCAGATCTTGGAGTAAATCTTCACCCATAGCCAATGGACATCTTGCACAAATCTCCCTGATAGCATTCAGGCTGCAATTAAATGTGTAAGAAATGTATGAAATCTCAGTAATGTATATATGTATACATTGGCATTTTGTTGATTACCGATTACATAAAAATAAAAGTTTAGTAGATTTTAATTATGATATTTCAGCTCATTATATAAAAACAATGACACAACTGTAAAGGATGAAATATATGTTCATCATGCAGTGATAATTTACAACCCCAAAAACTCAAAGTAAATCAGCAATAAAACATTACTCAAATTTCCTTCACTGGTTTGAGTTTTAACTTTGTTTTGTAGTTATTAATTCCCTCATTATTAGTACACATTTTTCATGTTAATAATTGTTGTAATGAGCTTTCAACAAATCTTCTGTTAATATAAATATCAAACATATGGACTTCAATCAAGAGAAGCTTTTGTTATCCAATCATCTTATACATAAAAGAATGTTCTAATTTTATCATAAGAAAAACACTAAATCATTTACATTTCCCCTTCTTTTTTCAAAATTCAAATGTCTTCTACAATGATGTCTATTAATTGTCTCTTATGTTTCCTGTCAGACATACCATGTTGCTTCACCCACTTCTGACCCATATATATGTACATATTAAAAGAAGGAATTTTTAAATAAATATGCCATTTTTTAAAAATTCCTTAAACAGTTAAGGTTTAACTCCAAAAAATATGGTTTCTAAAAAACTGTATAAAAAAAAACATTACTGCTTTTGTATTTTAATCATCAGCTGAAACATACACTTACCCTACAGCCATTACTTCTGATGAATTTCTTTCTGTAATAAAGTTATTAGCTATGGTTTTAAGCAATGGTTCCAAAGTCTAGAAGAGAAAAAGTTAACTGAAAGAACAAACTACATAACTATACAGGCTGTAGAATATCACAAACAATACTACAATGGATTAATACATACAGTTAAAATATCAAAAAGTCAGTTTACTAGTTAGAAAACTGTAGTTTAAAATTTACTTTCTTACTTATATACAACCTTACCCTCAGGCATAATTATAAATAACAACACTAATGCATCTTAACTCATTTCTTTTGCAACAAACACAGACACTTTAAACAAAATCAAGCACAAGGGTCAATACTGCTTTTAAAAAACATTGTATTTATCACCACATTCCAAACAATATATAGCAGCAATCTCCAGATTTTCAAGTTTTATTTGATATAAAACATACAGTGAAAATTAAAAATGTTTGAAAACAAGATGCTATATTTCTAACCCCTCATGTGTAAAGTTCTAAAATTCAGATAATTTTCGTCCGAAACTAAGCTTTCCAAAAAAGAATAAACAACTTCTGTCATATTTTTTTCTTTCTTCACTATGTATATATAGTGTTTAATTGTGTCTAGGTAAAATACTAACAAATTTCAAAACATATATTAAAAGTAATAGATTTCAAGTAAATATGGATTTTGTGTTCATTTACCCAAACTTATGAATCTACAAACACCAAATGTACGTCGTATTGCTTGTCTCATTACGTTTTTCTCAATAATCTGTTATCCATGGTTATCAACTGTTTCTTTCTTCTTCTAACAAATGATAAAATAAAATACGTTTGGCAGATTCATCAGACCTTTATCACGTACTCTCACAGAAGCCAATGCAACTGGTCTATTATTTATTGAAAAGTTTATATATTGGTGAATAGTATTCAACTTTACTGTTTATTTACTGTTGGAGCAATAGTTTTTATTTTACCTACACAATACACTTTTTTACAGGTGATAGCTGTTCTAGCCATGCAAGCAATAAATAAAATTTGAATTGAGAAGTGAATAGCTCTTTGTGTGCAAGGTTGGAGTACTTCAAAACAATATACTGTTTCTTTACATCCCAATAAATCATTTAGAATATTGATTAAAATAGTTTAATATCTTTTTGATGATTTTTATTTCACATTTTCTAATATTAGGCAAAATTTCAGTTATTTTGAGGTTGTCAAATCACGTTTCTTAAAAGCTGCTTGCTGTACAAAGTTAACTTAGGCACATGTCTGAAGTTTGCTCTCAGCCATAAAGCTGGCTTAATGTTACAAGTTATCACACGCTTTTCATAATAAAACAGTTTAACTAAAAAAAGTAAAGGCATCTTAGGGTAAAATACATGAAGAAAAAAATATTGAGAGAATAGTACTGTTTGTTACTGTGGTCTTTATTTTGAGTAATAAGCAATACTACATATTAAAGAAAGAACAAAAAAAAACTTGATGCTTCAGAACATCACATCAAGGACAAAGGTTTACCACAGCATTTGTTAGTGTCAGCAGGTGAAATGTCACATGCCCATACTACATGTGAAGTTGCCCCTACTCTTACTTGTTTTTATTCATTTATAAACAGAAATTATCTTCAAAAGTTAACATTTTCCTAAACTGAAAATGTATTTCCAATAGATACTTACCTCCTCTCACAAAAAACTTTCTTGACTCATACTGCCCTCTAACTGCACAAATTTTCACTCACCGTTAGCCTTGATACCCCCTTTTAATTCTACATACTAACATGCAAATGATTATGCAGCAACCTTCCACCAATAGGAGTGTGACACTAACTTTATTGTAACTAGTACCCTCTCTAATCTTGCAGCTGTTAACCACTTTCAGATTGGTCAGAACACACCAAGCCACACCGGAAGTGGGGAAGATGAGTGAAGGTAAGTATCTATCAAAAACAGAATTTCAGTTTAAGAAAATGTTAACTTATGATACAATATCTTACCTCCTCTCACTAAAAGCTAGAATCACACATTAAACTGGTAGATGGCCGGTGAGAAGCACTCAAAATAAAACAATGGGGTGTGAGAAGGAACTAAAAAGAATGCACATGTGGGAGACTGCATCACTTCTGAGCAAGATATACATCTTCTCCCTTTATTAATGTGTTGCCAAAAGGGTGAAAACATGGAATGACACAAAGAAAAAAATTACAAAATAAAACAATGGGGTGTGAGAAGGAACTAAAAAGAATGCACATGTGGGAGACTGCATCACTTCTGAGCAAGATATACATCTTCTCCCTTTATTAATGTGTTGCCAAAAGGGTGAAAACATGGAATGACACAAAGAAAAAAATTACAAAATTAATGGTGCAGAGGGGCTAGGACACAAGAGACTGTAAGTGGGCAATCGACTTCAACCAACACCTGCCAGCATCTTAAAATGTACGTCAGGTCCTGACGTACTGGGTACTGGTAGGAAAGAGAAGATTCTGTTCCAAGAACCCACCTCTGCATGTGTGCACCTCCAACACAACAAACACCAAATCTCCCAGTAAATTGCCATCTGGTAGATGGTAGAAAGTAGAGAGCCCAAGTGGGTGTTCCTCTCTGGTCCAAAACCTGGTGGCATTGGGAATTTGTTGTCCAATTCGCAGTAGGAGGAGGGTACCCAGCCTTACACATGTAGAAATTCATGTGTCTTGTCCAGCTACAGCCAACACCAAATCCACTGGGAACAGACATCCATCAGATGGTAAGAAGAGGGACCAACCACAATTAAGGGGTTGCATCTACAGTCCAAAACTTGGTAGTAATGGGAATTTTTTGTCCAGTCTGCAGTAACAGGGAGGGGGGGTGCTATCCAAACACATGAGGACTTATGTGGCTGGTCCAGCTCCAAACAGCACCTGATCCGCAGGAACTAACATCCAACAGATGGTTGGAAGGAGGGTGCCTCAGCTGGAGGAGCAATCTGCAATATATATATATATATATATATATATATATAATATACAAGGTGGAGTGCTACATCTAACACCTGGTAGCATCTGGAATTGTACATCAAGTCCACGGTAGGAAAAACCTCAATGCCATTAATCATCACAGATAAGCAGAAATCCCTGTCTGCTTTACCCATGTTAGTCCAGAGTGTACGGTCTGGGAGGAACAAATTTATGAAGCAACAGCCAGTGAGGGACATCTATGAGCAGTCCTGTGGAACACTCAATCTCAACAGTGTGTGTAACCTGACCTTGTGATGTGTTATGATATAGTATTTCGATAAATAGAAGACACATTGATAGAGTTGATCAACCAAAACCTGGTATCATCTGGAATTGTACATCAGCTCTAAAGTAGGAAGGTCCTCAATGTCACAATCATCTAGCATGGTATATGATCACAGGTCATACAGTGCAGATTTAATATTAAGTATACCTGGTCAGACAACATTTGCCATAGAGTGGGATCCAAATATGCAATAAAGGCTCTTGCAAAAAAAAAAGAAAATTAATGGAGTACTTACCACCCACAGATAAACAGTTACAGCACTGATGATGTCCTCCATATGAAGATGGAAAAGTGTAGTCAGGGATATGGTAAGGTAAAGGATCTGATGGTAAGAAAACATGAAAAAAGGTGATGATCATCAGGAGAAAGGGAAGAAAAATGCCAGGTGAATTTAACCCAGAAGAGTAATGGGAAAAAAATTATGGGAGGGGTGAAGATTTCAAGGAAGAAACAAATGGACTCAGGAACCAAGGAGAGGTGCAGTACATGTCATATACTATTGAAAATTCTTGAACAGGCAAAGGAAGCAGGCAGAATCAAAACAGTCATAAAGATGGGAAAAAGAGGAAAAGTAAAAGGGTGTGAAGCGAGAAATATCCTCTCGGGCAGCCGAATTTGTGGGCATAAAGGAACGGTCAGGAAAGAGGAGAACATAAGAACTATGAAAACAAACACACAGTGAATATCAATTGCAAACACATCAGAATGACAACATTCACATGCAAGCAAGAACAAGGATTTCAAGTAAAAAACACAAATAAATGTCCAATGGAAGACAGTAAAGAGCAAGGAAAACCACAGACAGGTGAGAATCAGGAAGAGAAGCATGTCGGAGAGGATGAAAACATGGAAGGAATGAAACAACATGGATTAGACTGGCAACTGGAAAATGCAAGCAAAGTCAATAAACCGAAAAGTGGCAGATAACGCCAACCTATAACTCATAACAGAGGAAAATGAAAAAACCCGTTCAAAAAGCCAAGGCAAAATGGACAGTATGCGAGTAACTAAGAAGTGGAGGATGGGAAGGATGATATTAAGGATATATTAAAAATGGTACATGGACCACATAAGTAGGTAAATTGCCATGGAGGAAGAATGAATAGGATGGAAAATGAAGGAAGCTACACCCAAAATGAAAATCTGGCCCTTTGGAAGAGGGGCCTGACAAAGCCAAGCATGCAGATGAAGTGCAGGTATGAACGAATGATGCACTCCAGAGTGTTCCTGATGGAAGAATGTCAGAGATAATTGAAGAGAAAGGGAGGTGACACCAAAATCCAATGCAGCAGTGGAAACTATGTGGGAGCCAGCCAATATGTAGCCACCAACAGAACACTACACAGAGTGGTCTGAAGTAAGGCAAGGACATGTGGGATGAGACAAATAGGAGGATGCGCATATTGGTAACAACCCTACCAATCCCAACTGAGAGATGAGGAACAGGAAAACAAAATTGGGAAAGTGATGCATTGAGAAGAGTGACAAAAGCATCCAAGTCTGGAACACCCCAGAGACCACACAAAATCTAAAATACGGGTATATCCAAAGGCCACTCCACAGGCAGAATCATGTTGGGACAGGAAAACTAATCCATGACCAAATTCAAGGACAGGACACCTGGATTATGACATACCAACAAAGTGATAAGATGGCAGCAGGCCTAACACAGAAGATCCAATGTTTGCAAACAGAGGTCTGCCGACCGAGCATACGTTGCCTGATGATTTACAAGATGTCCATAGAAACGTCAGAGTGAACCCATCACCAACCAGCCCCAAAGAGCCTGCAGGAACTGAAGGAAAGCCTGATGAACAGCAAGAAGTTCCAAGAGATTGATATGGAGAGAGGAATTGTAAAGAGACCATTGCCCCGAAACCTCCTGAGTGTCAAGATACATTCCCAACTAGAAAGAGAAGCACCTGGAAAAGGTGACATTCTGAACAAAAAGGAGAAAGAGAAACACCCACGGTAATATTGTTTTGATCCAACCACCATTTGGAGATGGTCTGTAAAGGAGGGGGAAGGGTAAGAGGGACATCTAAAGGATCTCAAATAAGGCTCCATTGGCCTATCAAAACCACTGACAATGACACATGCGAGTGTGACCAAGAGGAATGAGGGCTTCGAAAGAAGCCCATGGTCCAAAAAAGAGAGAGAGAACCTCTTGCGCAATAGGAGAAGGAGAGGATGAGATGTTGCATACGAGACATTCCATAGTCACAACTGAAGTGAAGCAGGTAGGACCTGATGGAGGAGGGAGTTGAAAAACACCTTGAGATAGAACCAAATATTGTGTTGGTGTGAGGAAAAAAATGCTCCACTTTTGACAAGTCAGCCCACCATGACAGTGTCTTGAAGAAGAAACTGAGGATGGAGGATTGGGTTATCTTGCAAATAAGCAACCACATGTCCATAGAATGATGGAAACGAAGGCCCCTGGAATGAATCAGCCAGGCAGGCAGAAAACAGGATCCTGAGGAGGGAAGTAAATGGGATTGAGATACAATGGGGGAGATGAATGGAAGTAGAAGACCAGACTTACTGAAATGACTGTCAGAACCCATGGATTGACCACCAAGGAGCTCCTCACGTGGGCAAATTTAAAGCTCCCCACCAGCCCTGTCCTGAGATGGGTGATCAGAGTAAGACAAATAAGGGAAAAGGTAATCAAATTATCCGGGTCAAATCCCAACTAAGGGAGAAGCTACTCCACACACTGCAAGTCCAAAGGCTAGTCTCTGAGAAAGGCAGAAGTGGAACATAGGAAATGGTAGATATGGACAGAACATAACATACCTGAATAATCAAATCCACCAAAGGGGAAGGAGGTCTGGACAAATCTCCTGAAATGACACGTGACTGAGAGGCATATTCAGGAAGGGGGAAAAAGACTGTCCAAATCCAAAACTTACCAATCACTGAAAACTGAGAGTGAACAATCATTAGTTTGCATGAAATTGGCCAACTCCCGATGTATTAGAGCCATCACTTCATGAGCCGAGTATTGGTCGGTAATTCTGCTGCAGCAGTTGTAGTCATAAACCACCTGAAACTGCAAGTGCATAACTCACGAAAGTGAAAGAGGAGAGAAGATTAATAAAATTATTCATAACTCTTCACAAAACACAAAAGAATGAAAATAGGAAAGAACAATGTAATTAAAGTAGAAAAATTAAGAAAGTAGAAACTTGTGGATAAGTGAATCAAACTGTGAGAAAAAATATGTTTATTCAATAAGACTGCCGATCGAGACGTGATTAACAGCTACAAGGTAAGAAAGGGCACTAGTAATGATAGGGGTAGTGTCGCACTCCTATTAGTTGAGGGTTGCTGCATAATTACTTGCATATTAGCATGCAAAAATTAATGACAGTATCAAAGCTAGTGGCAAACAAAAATTTGCGTCGATAGAGAGCAGTATAAGTTGAAAAAGCTTTTTTGTGAAAAGGGATAAAATATTGTATCAGAGAAATCCAAAAGCTTAGTAAAAGATTCATTGATTACAATCTTCTTATCCCAAAAGTAATTGTATATTAAATAACTAAAAAACTTACAAGATAATTGAGTTTTTACAGAACCATGAAGCAGTTGCCATTATATTCACAGTGGGCTGTAAGGGTTAAAAGCATTACAAAACAAAGGAATGTGGATTAACTTAGGGCACCAGGACCATTCAAAAAGTAACCTGAAACAAGTTGTATCCCATCAAAGTGCGTTCTCTTGTAACAGGTTAGAATCCACAAAGAAAAAGGTGTATGTGCCCTAAGACACAGCATAAAACATTCTCAAGAAGGATCACTGTCTAGGAATGAGGCCAACAGAATATACGTTCACCATAAGAAGGCTTTCGTTCATACATCCTATTCAACTATTTCATACCTCAAGCCACTGGAGAATGAAATTAATATTCATGCTATTCCATTTGAAAACATACAAGTAGAGTCACCACATGCAGCACCTACCAATTTGTGTGAGATCAAACTATTGAAATAGGTGTGGGAAAATTGTTGTTCTCATACACTAAATGGACTATGAACAGCATGCATGAGAAGTGGTGTGCTTTGAACATGAGTCTTATGATAGAAACTTTGCAATGGAAAATGTGCTGCAGTGCTATTGTCAAGATGTACAGTTGTCAGAGTATGACCAGACATCACAATAAGGACTTCAACAACAATAATGAGGCTCCAAAATAATTTTAATATAACATATTCAATCTCTGTAATCTCACAGAATCTCATAATGATGCAACATTACAATTGACAAGTCAGGATTTCTTGTGTTCAAGAACTCCTTTATATGTTTTCAAGATGACAAAGTATTTCCCACATTTCCCTAATGAATATGTATTATAAAAATAAGTGATATATAACTGTGATTCTGCTCTTAAAAACGTTCTGTAATTTTAAGAGTTAGACTGAAGATTACTCATACGAACAGTTTAGTTACAATCTTTCTAAACCATCAATGTCATATCAGTGAGATAATTTAGGTATTTTTTATTCAATCATACTTATCTCATAATTATTGTGTATAAAGTATTGTTTTTGCAAAATGAAATGAGTTTACAGGTTCTCAAATTTTCATTTATAATGCCCATTTTTCTCATGAGAACACGGCTTAAGGTGTGCCTCTTAAACTTTTGACATCTTAGTATTTATCAAATTCAAATAATTGTTTATTATTTAATTAACAATACTAGGAGATATGTCCAGCTTCAGTGCAATGACTTTGTGTCAGAGGGTTTTTCCAGTTTTCTCTTTACCAATGAAGGTATTTCTCTGAATTGGTTTTAAGTGCAGTTTCAGAGCCAGTTACTGTTCTAAATATTCTACTGCATAAGTATTATCACTTCCATGAAGAGCTCAGAAAGTTTCTTTCTTCAAAATGATGTTTCCTTTGGTTCACCACAATTTGTAACAATTTTGCTGTAATAATTATTTTTCTTAAGCAGTTTTTACATTACTCCAGCCATAAATCTTCACATGGCAACATTGTATCATTGACTTGTTAAGAATTGCCATGTCTCTGCATTAGCATCCACAAATAGTTCAAATAAAGTGCAATAAAACCTATATACTTTTGATAGCATTATACACTAATACCAAAAGGGCATTATATATAAATGTACTATGATTTAGACAGAAAATAAAAAAAATAAATAAATTTACTTACATCAGGGGGCACTTGTTCATGTGCAGCTTGGGCACTATACTGTAAAATTCGTGTGACATCTGAAAGAAGTTTGTAAATAATGTTCATGTTCATGCATAAAAAATATATTGTATGTCCCTAATCCTGCTACCTTATTTACTTGCAGAATGATGTTTCTGCTTTCATACTGAATTCTTCTTCATAAGATCTCTGAAAGACTCAGCATAAAGCTCAAAAAGCAATTTCAAAACTTAAATAAGAAGCAGGAAAAGTCATACGAAATAATTTCATCATATGAAATACATCACCTGAGAAAGAACATGATAAATATTTAATGTAAATAATCTAATTAATGTATGCATAATATCTTGGTTCTTCACTATCAATAAAAAATGCATTCCTTCTAGTGTTTTGCATATAGAAAAAAGAAAACCAACAACATTCCAAAATCTTATTTTGTGCAAGTTTGGTTCAAGTCTATAAAATACATAAAAAATAATACATCATTGAGGAAACCTGATATTTTAATGATTTATGCAGCCTGTCCAGAATAGGTTAACTTGTAAACTTTCTGACTGGAGTAAAAGTTTAAATCTTCCCACAAGTTCTCTACAATTGTGTAAAAAAATTAAATATGTCTTGCTTGAAGCTATCTATCACCATTAACCTTCTCACACTGTAATAAAAACACAGATTTCTAAAAGAGGGTATTAGTTTCATCCATTACTGCTATATGAAAATGTCATCTTCTAAAGTTAGGTTGCCTTGTTTGTAAAATTCTGCATGGTATAATATATCAAATTTACTTTGCTCATAGCAAACATTAGAGAAAGTAGATTTTACTGAAACTTTACAGAAGGTTTGTCCAATCCTGGCCTAGTTTAACAATGCACAAGCTCTTTCAGCACAGGCTCAGTCCCTGGGACCGACCTCGTAACCATTTTGTGCTTGTTATAGTTTTCATGCTATAACCTTTAAATTAGTAAGCGAATGTTAATAAAATTTGGTACATTACCAGTAAGCATCACAATGATTTCATATGCAAAATATCAAATTGTTCTATTAAGTCTTAAGGTTTGTAAAGCAATGTTTTTCTCATGACTTTTTGTATGTTGCCTATCTAACATAGAAAGTAATTTTCATTTTAAGATTAAAAACACTTTTATGCATCAGAAAATTTTCAAATTTCACATGCAAAATTATTATAATGTCCAGATAATTATCAAACGTTTTTTAAGAAAAACTTTAAATTTTATCTGTTATTTTCCATAATGAATCTCTGTATGGGTTTGGTAGATCTGACCAATCTCGTAACCACCATAAAAAATTAGGAAATAAATATAAATTATGCCTCTTTCATTCTAGAATGAATACAAATTATAACTCGAAAACATAAATGTTTAGACTAAATAGCTTAAATCTCATAACATTAAACATATATATATATATATATATA